AATTAGTAGTTGATACTGCTAACGGTCAAGTATCTGTTAATTACGTATTTGAAAACTGCACCATCATGATTGAGGGTTGTGAGCTACCCATCCGATTGTTTCTCATGCCTATGAAGGAATTTGATGTGGTAGTAGGAATGGATTGGTTGGCAGAAAATAAGGCTAGCATCGTTTGCAATGAAAAGATTGATCAGATTCGAGCAAAAATCAAAATTGCCCAGGATCGACAGAAAAGCTATGCCGACAAACGAAGGAAACCGATTGAGTTCAATGTAGGTGACTTTGTAATGTTAAAGGTATCCCCATGGAAAGGTGTTATGAGGTTTGGGAAGAAAGGTAAGCTTAGTCCAAGGTATATTGGATCATTCATAATCTGCAAAAGAATTGGACCGGTAACTTATCAATTGGAATTACCAGAGGAACTTAGTCTGATTCACAATACTTTCCATGTGTCAAACCTAAGGAAATGCCTTGTTGATCCTAGTATGGTGATACCACTTCTGGAGATTAAATTGGATGACAAACTAAATTTTGTAGAAACTCCAGAAGCTATAACCGACCACAAAACCCGTGTGTTGAGAAACAAGGAAATAAATCTAGTAAGGGTGCAGTGGCGATTTCACAAAGGATCAGAAGCAACGTGGGAATTAGAATCAGAAATGAAAGAGAAATATCCATGGTTATTTGAATGAATTCCGGGACGGAATTCTTTTGAGGAGGGAAGAATGTTATAACCAGGTTTAAGACAACCTGAGATTGAGGTAATTTATACATGTTTATTATGTGGATTATGTGAAACATGCATACCAAAGTAGAAATGCATGAACATGATATTGTGCATGCATATATGTGAAAAGATGACATGCCATAAATGATTTATACATGTATGCATGTRGTGTGAAGCATAYATGAGGTGGTGTTTATTGTGTTTAAATGATTCGGGTGGAATCATTATTTTATTATTTAAAGCTTATATCTTCATGGTTAAGAAACCATAAATTTTATAATGCAAAATCCACCGTCCAAAGTTATTTCTATTGGACAAAAGCTTTCACCGCCTTTGAAGTTCTATTATTAAAATCCTCCACCGCCTAGGTGAGGATATTTAAAGAAGAGTTTGATAAAGTTATCCTTATCACTGTCACTCTYTTAGAAAAGAACCTGTGTGTGAGTTAAGGTGTTCTTGAAGATTCTGTGTTAAGAATAAGCTGTTGCTGTGTGTTTATCATCAAGAAATCTGTTTGATAAGGTGAGTTTTAAACTACTGTTGAGTATAAACTATGAGTTTTTTTTTAAACTACCTTTGTTTATAAACTGTGAGTTTTATTGTTGATTATATGCTATGAGTTTTGATGTTGGTTTTGAAKAAAAGATGGTAAAACTATTTTGATAGTTTTAAAGGTGTTACTGTTATTGTTGGAAAGATAAAGAAGAGTTTGTTTCTTTAAATCAGTTTTGGAAATGATATCCTGTTT